ATGGAGATCAGAAGCCATAAGCTGTAATGTTTATAAAGAACACTAGCTAAAGAGTGAGGTGTCGTCTGGTCTGATGTCGGTCCATACGACGTCGGTTGACCTGAGGAAAGATGTTTTGTGGATAAACTATGTGATGTCGAATCTGAAGTTGGTCCGTACGGTTGATGAGATGTTGCACCGCTTGGACTGCATCCATATAATGCATCCAACATCGCTGTACCTGATGTATCGATCTGACATGAAGACCGGCGTGTAGAGTTATTTACTAAGAATGCCATGGTAACCGTTTCTCCCGGTTTACCTCGGATCCCAACCCGCATGTTGATTTCGGCATGAACAATGTTTGTAACCCTCTCAGGTGACATAGGCACCCATTTAGAAATTTCTCCGAATATAACGATATCTGTCCCATTCCTATAACATGTTGATAACATTATATATGCAAAGGAATTTTATTTTAATTCAGCTTTTAGATGTTGAAGACTTTAAAATTAGAATTTTTAACAAAATTTATTACATGGAGGATATTCAATGTTCTATAGTCAAAATACAGTATACGATTTAGTTACTTACAGACCCGTTTCTCTCGCACTAAATAAGTACAAGCAGAAGTCCTCACGGGTACAATTGTCCAGAACCAATGGGTGATCGTCATCAAACGGTTGCCACATTTCTGGTAAGCCAAATGGAAACACTAAAGCTGACCTCAGCTGCATATATTTTATAGACAAAGATAAAAAAAAATGTCAAACTCAGTGGATTTAAAGATAAATAATAATGATCACAAGTGACGGTTAAAATTTGTCTGTATATACATCATATCGCTGAGTTAAACTCAGGAGTCTACTCACACTGTCAGGGAACCCAGTGTCTGAATTCCTGACGGTGTATGGGGATGATAGATTGGTTGCCATGAGGATACCAAAGTCACGTGGTCGGTCAGAGACAATAGTTGTGTAGGATGTCCAAACTTCTCCAACAGGTCCGTCAGCTGAAGGTATGGCAGCCTGTAAAAACCAGTGTATGAGGAATATTCAATTAATGTTAAAACATAAAAGAAAAAAGTGCAAGAATAAAATTTCTATATAATTGATTCTCTCAACTCAGTAGTTAATATTTGCAGCAGCATTGTCATGTACACCATTTTTACTGTTATTAAAGGAAAATATTTACTCTTCCACAATTATTATAATCAAAGTATTGAAAGAACTAAAAGCCAGGCTTCAAATGCTCGAGTATATTGTCTGATCCGAAATTAGTACATTTTTATTTTTTTTCCTTTTTGGCCATTGATTTTTAACAGGTAGAGTTTGTATGATTATGATTTAAAACAATATCACATATACCATTACTTAAAATTAACAGTCCAGACCCCAAGATATGTTATGATTTTAAAATTTTAATCAATAAATAATATTTCCAAGATATTCTCGCATATTTTCTATTCAAGAAGATTTGTTCTCATAATTGAAAAATTAATTCTTGGAAAAGTTAAAATAATGCACATGTGTATTTTATAGACATTCTTTTTAGTTTCAAACAAACAGTACTCGTATCGCCAACTACATGTAGAAACACTGATACATGTACATTGACAAGCGACTTCACGCATGTTAATTCTTAAAATTCCAATTCCCTATACTATTAAATTGCTAAAAATCAAAACAGAATATAACCACTAACATAACATCGACGAAAACGATATGAAAACATGAAACTCTTCAACAATTTCAACATTTCGAAAAGCCCGCGCTATTAAATAAAGTTCGCTTACAATATGCATTCAGCAGCGTATTGCCCAAATTGTTATATCACGATTATTCCAACAAAGCAAATATCTAATTTCTCTTTCATTGTAATTCTCAAGCAAAAATATTGATCATTAACTTTGCCAACGATTGGGATGTTAAAAATATTTGTTTGAATATTTTCTCGCAATGGGACTATTTTGTTTATCGGAAGCGTCTGCTTTGACGCTGTTTGGTTTTTTGTTTACTGTGCTATTTATAGTAAGACAATAGATCAAGATGCCTATAGCCAGGACTTTGTTTTCAACAAAGATCGGCTTATAAAATCGCATGATACATAGTATCTGAATGACCTTCTTAAGCATATAGTGTCATATTTTCTCTCCAATGCTTGTCGAAGAGATTTTTAAAGGAAATTTCAAAGAAATTATCATATTTAATATATTTTCCAAGATCCGTTTCTTGTAATGAAATATCTTCTTAATCGTTTGACATGGTTTCATTAATCTAGTTCCTTGTTTCATGTTAACATTACGTTTTACTTTCAGACATACCTTAATGATTTGTTTGTCAATGGCAGTGGCGGGACGTGACGGTTTAAGCAGGCGACCGTTTCCATCGCAGCATCTCATGATAAGTTCGACGTCGGAATTATTTATTTGGTCTCCTGGCCCTACAGGGCCTGCACTGAGTGTGGATATTAACGCCTCTAATGCTGGGTAGGGCTCTCTGATATCTGTTGACGATATGAGTATATTTTTTAAAATATCAAATGATAATTAGATAAGTAAGTACAACATTTATCCTAAGAAAGTGCAATATTGATCCTTGCAATATTGAACAATTGCTAAAACATTGTGTTGATTGCAATATATTTTATGGCAGTTTCCTTGGACAACAGGCAAGTATAATCAGTAAACCTTTATCCAAAAAAATATTTATACCAACATCAAAACAAAAATTATAATTATGAAGCATGTGGAATAACCTCTACAGTCAAAATGTAAGAATATTTAAATACATGTAGAAACTGTAAACCAACCTTTATGAGAAAATTATTTCAAGATTCTTGAAATACTTTTTTATTGCCAAAAATAAAGATATGATGAAAACTTGTTCCTCAGTTTGGTGAGAAGAAACATCTACTTTCGCCTCAAGTATCCACATATGAAAGTCATGAAAAAATGTGAAAAAAGTTTGAGGTAATTATAAAATTTCTTTTTACACATACCTGGATATCTGGGGTTACCAGTTTGTTGATGTGTAGACCAGAAAGTGTCCTTGTATGGTGCCAAACCTATAGCAGACGCCAGCATTGAAGATATTCCAATCCGCCATTGCTCCGGTTCTAAATGATAATCTTGACTCACCCTTGCCTGTAGAAAGGTAAGAAATAGAATGTGTTAGTGAAATATGCAATTATCATGATTTTCCATAATTCAAACAAAACTAGAGAAAATATTCAAATAAAGAACATGTTTTGGTGTACAGCAGTGAAATCAAATGAAATTCTTGATATGAAAATTATTATTTTAAGGAGAGGTGTTAAACCAATATGAAGATAACTAGAGTCTGTATTATAATATCCTCCTGTAAGAGTCTGTCTCTTAAATATTTTCTTTCGCACTCGGATAATTGTTGAAGAAGCTACAATGTCATATGCTTGATTTTTATAGTGCATAAAATGCTGAGCATGGACTCTTTTGGTACTTTTCTATATAATAAAGACAAAACAATCTCTGCTTTTAAAGAAGAGACACAATTCATTATAAATGTGAAAGTAAGGAATACCGATTCATAAATTCTGTTTTAAAGGGAATGATGATTAGAAAAAAAGGTACGAAAATAAAGAAAAAAAAGACCTTAATTGGCCTCCTAGATCGAGAAATTTCTAAAATCTTATTTAAATGTACAATATACAATCAAATTCATGTATTTAGTTTTATTGTCTAATGCTTTAATGCTAGAGGGTTTTGATTACCAGGGTTAACAGGGTTTCAAAGAAAAACGTCCCATTTTCTCCAAACACATTTTTATTTCAAAAAATAAATTGGCTAGAATGGGGGGGGGGGGGTTAGAAAAAAAGTGTTGTAGAAAAAATATTTTCGACTTCCATTTGTCCCTAAAATTCTGAAACCTCATTGCACATCTTCAAGACCATCAAGGCGGTAATATATACAAATTTTGTCTAGTCCTGTTGACAAAGAAAGATAACTTGAAAACATGTTAGTATTAATACTCAACGAGCAAGTCAGAAATCTATGTTAAGAATTGCTTGCATATCGTATAAAAATAAACGACCCGATTCTTCGACAACAATTTCCATTCTACACGTGTATAGAAAATCACAGACAGATACCCTATAACAAATGTAATGTCCATGCATGAAACATTTGAAGATGCATATATTTCCAAGGCTTAAATACATGCAATTTAAAAATGTAAACTTTGCAAATTCCTTTTTGAGGATGTATGAGTGAATGTGTGTATTGGTTTCTTCTTGTTTGTTTGTTACAGACTTCTGTTTTTTAAAACAATTATACAGTTTTTTCCTATGTTTTTGTATTTAAAATCGAGGCAATTATGTCTCAGGTATCATTTTCAAGCACACTATTTTCCCAAGTCAGTTCCACCCATTATCATCCTTTTTTCACGATATGATCGAATTAATTGCTATACAGCATATTTCAGATTTGTTGATATCATGAATAACTAAAAATATCCTTAAAACCCCAAAGACCAGCGCTTTTTCTGACGAGTTATAGTTTATTACTCTGAAAGCCATCCTTAAAGTCTTCCTTTACCTGTGTAATGGCGGGTAGGGTAACACTTGTCAGGGCGTGACGAGGGAGGGACATACAGAGCTGCATGGTGAGGTTCTGATCCTGTGCCGCCCCTCCCATTCTTGTCATCCAGCGCTCCCCCAGATAGAGGTCAGTCTGAAGAGCAGCCAGACCAAGTGTTTGAATGTCTAGCCAGTCCTACACAATCAGAATGAAGATTCGGTTATTTTGATACCAAATAGAAAAAGTTGTAGGCGTTGTATTAGAACAGTGAATTAAATGTTTCACTTTGATGAAGTATTGTAATATTCATTACTTTATCAGATAAAGGGGGGTAGATTTTATTTGTAAAAATTCAACTTATTGTACATGTATTTATCGGAATATTCCGTGAATCATGCCATGTTTGTTTTGGGTATAGATTTACCATTGTGTTGGTCCCACATGTTTTTCTGTTATATGCTTATGTATTTTGATTATTATTTACCTGACAAGGCTATGTTCTTAAATTGTTTAAAATTTTATTGTCAATGAATATAAGAATCTACTTACAGGAGTTTCAGTGATGTTATTAAGTAATCCACACTGTATTTATTATGACATGACATCTACTGTCAGTGCATGTAGGCCGCCATTGTATGACATCATCAAATAGTTCACTTGGCGCAATAATTTGGATTTGTTATAATGTAAAGCTAGTACAAGTAGATTCCTATTAAATTAGTTAAATTATAGTTTTTATAACATGAACTATTTAAAAGATACCTGTAGATTTGATCTCTCTATTTATGATTGTTGTCATTTAGCACTATTTATTTTGCTCAAGAATAGGCTATTACCTAATCACTGATGTCTACTACACCACAAGAGATAGTTCTTTGTTAAGAATTGTTTAATTCTTGATTTATTAAGTAAGTAATGCATTCATTTTATTGTGTATAGAGAATTTATAGTTAACAGGATAATTTGGTAATATATGATTATTTTTAATTGTTAGAATTATAATAATTTATGCCTGTCAGGATTGTCAGGGAAATGAAGCATTTTGATTGGTTAGTTTCTAGATGCAAAAGCTATATAAGAGAGGCAACTTCTCAGTTTTGGCAGATAGCTCCACTGAGCACTTGACTAATTGTTATCTTATTAGTATGATGAATTCTGAAAACCAAGATCATAATTTTTATAAAGACAAGTTCTAATTATTATTCAGCATAAAGATTGTTTTCATAACTTGGCAACCCAGAATCCTGACATTTTATAAATTCCTGACACTGAAGATTTCCTGACACCCAGATTTCCTGACAATAATTCCTGACAAGTGAAATACTGACAATCTCTTATAATGTAAATTATTATTACTCTTCACATTTTTACTCCTCTTACGTACAGCACTCTTTGTTATAAGAGATATTCCCCTTTAAGTCCCATTTGGCTACAGATACCTAGAACTTTATACTGAGCTATCTCCCACCACTCATGAAACCCTAACAAAATGTTGTGTGTATGTTGATAAAGGGACCAACACAGTTTTGTGCATCAAATGTTGACTTGTTTATTTATGTTTGCGATGAAAATTAATAAACAGTTATAAAGAACATATGGAGTTCCTGTGTGAATCATCTACGGTGGACATAAGGTCTATATATTAAGGCCAGCCTGTTACAGTATTAAAAGGTATAATGATTATAATTTTTATTTTTTTTTAAATAATATGAGTGTTTTCCAGGCAGTTTATGAGTGTTTCAATAAATGCTGACTAAATCAAAAAAGTAAAAATATCGACCGCCTTAGACCTATCGAAAGAGAAAATGGTACATATTCCTAGCAACGAAGCTTTTTGAAATTATTTTTTGCGTTTTAGAATAACCCTCGTATTTATTAACTGTACTTGTTCATAAACTGCTAAACCCCACTTCTTGGAAGTCCTAAACAAATTTGGCCAGAACATCTGTAAAACAAAAATGAAAATGAAAATTAATATACAACTTCTGCTATTCTATTTACTAATATTTTCAACACATTTTTTTTACATTTCGAGAAGTCTTATATACCTAGCTGCAATAATGTAGCCCTCTCCCTTTTTTTTTTGGGGGGGGGGGGGGGGGGCTACAACTCCTTAGGATCTCCGTAATGGTGCAATGCGGCAGCGATTCACTCCCGCACGGATTTCGGCCCAAATTGTCAGTAAACGGTTATTTTATTAATATGTCTTACCTTGACTTCCAAAATGTAGTTATCCTAGGCATAAATGGATCCAAAAATATACAGAATAATCCATATATATCCGTATTTTTCGTGTATGTCAACATCACAACTTAAATTTATCCGCCATGTATACTGACCTTGACAGAATTTATTTTGGGACAGCCAATGAGATTATGGATCGATAGGGAGCAGGTTTCTTTTGAATTACCTTATTTTAAGCCTAAATATCGCTGTTTACGAAAAAATAACACATGGAATGCTTTTATTTATCGATGTTTAGTGTTACTATTCATCACAATTATTTATAAACATTGACATTTGCTTTATTAGGTTATTCTAAATTTCAAGCACAAGTCTCAGTACGTCACGCGTGAACTATCATGGCTGCTGTAAAAGCGACAAGCAAACACACAGATTTATTTTACATGGTTTTCGCGTTTAACGAGCTATGATGTCGACAGTGAATAAAAATTTCGTCTTATTACAGGTAAGTTAAGTGTAAAAACAACTTGTACTGCCTGCAGTCGCCCGTATTTAAAAAATATTTTTGCACCATTACGGAGATGCTGTGGAATTGTAGCCATCTCCAGAAAACAACATATTAAAAAAAATCGGAGAGGGCTACATTATTGCAGAATGAATCCAAACTTTCTGTGTGATTCGTATACTAGTATATGGAAGACCAAGTAATGATGTAAAACATACAAGACTTAGTATTGAATCAAATAGCTACGATGGGATGCAAAGAAACCTTACTTCATCATCTGGCAAAGATAAAATTCGTTCCACAATAAAAGTGAAACTTCCATTATTTTTCTTGGCATATGATGTATCACGTCCCCTAAAAATAATTAAAATATTTTCAATTTATGTACTTGGCCTGTATGATTTACTTGATGCATAGGTTTTGTGATATTCAAATGGAAAAAACTATCGATTTTCTCGTATTTTCAAAACCCTTGCAAGACATTTTTTATGGAAAAGAAGATTTAATATGTTAGATTTTTTAAGCCTACAATTGAAGCCTATTGGCTTAAATGTTCTCCTAAGAATCCTGAGTTTTTAATTTGTAACCAATCCTAATCGAAAACATTGGAATATCATGGACAAAAATAGTAACCAGAAGAGAACTGTATTCCTTGTCAAGTTGCATCAGGTTTGTTCTCTAGATACCCAGTAGAAACAAAGAATTTTAAAGTTAATTTTGATTGTGCCGCTTAGATGTACATTAATGAAGTTTTTCAATGTATTCCTAAAATAAAGAATTAAAAAATGATGGGTTTTTTTTTAAAAAGTATTATGCCATAAAATACCAACCAATATCTGTTGTGAGCAACTATCGGAAGACCTGTTTTCCTATGAAGAAACCTTAAAAGAGGAATGAAATGCATCAGTATTGTTATTAACAACAAACTTTGAAATCGACAAATGATCATTACTCGTAATTACCATTGGTATACCTACCCGATCCCATTAGGAAAAACATCTGGTCTGGCTTCCCACGTCTTTACTGAATCCTGAAAACCTTTATAATACCACCAAGAATCAATCTGTATATACCTAAAACAATTGTACAATGGATAATGGAAATACAATACAAAAAAAATGAATTTTGAAGAAAGCCAAAAATAGCCCCTGAAAACAAAAGATAATTTGAATACAAGGTCAACAGAACTTAACAACTATCGACTTTACAAAGTGCTGACTTCAATGAAGAACCTTTAGAACGCGTTTGTGAGTAGCATGTCTCATTTGGAAAATTGATCTACTCACAACATGGTTTTCCTTTCAAATTGGATGAGAAACGTGCATACCATATCCAATTAACTGTGAAATTTTACTACATACAAATATGAATAAGAGAAACATATTTTCCAATTATCATTTTGATTTAATACTTCAAGTTGTTAATTTCTCATGAATGTAGACACCTTAAAGAAAAAAATGAAGTAAACTTCGATGACTTTCATTTCAAGTTTATTGGGATATATCTAGTCGACATATGAATAAAAGAAGTATTGTTAATTGATAAAAGTTCTTAAAAAAATTAAATATCGAATTAATAACCTCATCATCTCATGTTTCTTTGTAGTAAATTTTTTGGGGGAAATACTGATTACAAGTGTTGTAAACGTTGTTAAGATTTTTTTTCGAGAAGAATGCACATTTGATAAAAAAAAAAATTCAATATGTAAAATGTACTTTATAATTAAAGTGATTAAATATATTTCTATACATAACCTACCCATAAGGTAATCTGACAGACTCGCTATACTTTTGAACGTCAATAAGCGTATCTTGGTAGGTCTTACTATTATTGTTTGTGGTAGTCTCTGTATGGTAATAGTAATAGGCACCTGAAATCCACAAAAACATATCTATACCTCCTTTCATCACATTGTCTTTAGTAGGGTTTAAGGAGGTTTTATTTTAAACTTTAATTTATTTAAAATCTTTACAAGAATAAAACCTTTGAACTTTTGTGATAGTATTGATTTTAATCTATTGTATTTTTCTTTCAGATGCCATTGAAAGTTATAAAATAACTTTCAATAATAAACTTGATTTAAAATAAATATGTTTTATTTAAACATTAAACATGTAAATAAATTTGTAACAACTTTCTATCATTAAAGTCTAGAAATCTCTAGAGCCCTAAACTTAAAACTTAACTTTTAACCTTGAATAAATAAGTAAAAATAGCCATTGGTCAATATTTCCCGCCAAAACCTTTGACCCCCTTTGTCCAGTGTGTCAGCTAATTACTAGCCAAGGAGCAGTCAATGTGTATAGTTGTGTTTTTGTATTTTTGGAGAAATCTTTAAGACCACTGACAGTAAGTTGACTTTTTGACATTCCTATTTCATATTAATATTTTCCTATTAATAACTGAATGAAAGAGGCATATGAGAGAATTTATTAAATTATATAAGTTTGTCAAAAGCTGATAAACTAGTTGATTTTAAACTTTGTAATAAATGTATTTTATGACACAAAGAATATAATATAAGTGTATGGATGTTATTTATAAATTGTAGATATTGATAATCCATAAGCCATACACAAAATCATGTATTAGAGAGGGATTCATACCCATAGTCTGGTATGTTGCTATATGTACATAAAGCAAGTATATTATTGTAAATAGTCATTATATCCACTATTATGAAGTGAATAAGAGAAATATCATTTGTATAAAGTCAAGAGGTATAACTCATTGATATGTGTCAATATTTATTACTTTATTACCTTATTAAATATATAGTAATTATTTGATTTTATGATGACAAAAGATTCTGCTGCTATATGTGATTTCAAATTAAGTAAATGTACTTTATATTGTTTTGTAGAATCTTCTATATGATATGCTACTGTAATAAACATCATCACAGTGAATAAGCATCTTGTGTTACTTGCTGCTCCCGCTACACTTTGACAATATTTAAAGAAAGGGGGGCATTGAAGAAGACAAGTAAATCAAAAACATCGTTTCATTTACAGTCGATGAGAGCTTATATTATAATGTATTCACTACTTTATCATTCACTAAGAGATGAATTCCACAAAGGTAATTAATAGTATATATGTAAGATTTCTATATCCACCATGTCTTAGCAGCCTAAAATCCTTTCATAGGGAAAATTACTAGCTTTGCATAATTTCTTTACCATTATCTGTCCAATAGCCAATGTAATTTAGAGATACATCTTGTGTCTGTAACTGTTGTCTTTTTGCTTTTGTCTTGTAGAGAGTTTCAAGAAAATGCCCATATTCCTGAAATGCCTGAAAAACGAGATATGGGGGATATAAAAAATGATGACTTTGTGAGGATTTGTAACGGCAAATA